TATCCACACGTATGTCATTTTGTATTTTCCAATATTACATTAATGAATTTCCTCTTTATGTTATCATATATTCTTTATTTGAACTTTCTATATACATTCCACTACGTCTACCTTTGTATTTTCCCTATTCTCTCATAAACAGTCCCTTAAGTTCTGAACGATCGATTCTTTCCCATTCGGCTACTATTTTCAATGATTCTTCAAGTATTTCTTTGTTGTCTCGTTAACTATTTAATTGACTGATCAATATGACCAATGGAGAAATCGGTAGGCAGTAAGAGATCGTCTGACGTGTTCGAATCAATGCCTATTATTTCTATGGAATGTTTCACAGTTCTTCTCTTTCTCGTTCGATTCTCAAACAAATAAGCTTTGAAAACATCCATGAGAAAGAAAGATTCAATTTATATTCGATAAAATCGAATAGAGTTCAGATTGAATGGAATTCGCTTTTCATTTGAAGTCTGCTAGTCTTTCATTCGATTGAATTACAAAAACTCATTCGATGTCGGTTTGACAGTTGAAGAGAAGTTCGAAAAAGGCATTAGGAGAATATTCATCTAATCTCTGTCCTGTTATAGACCAGACACAAACATCGTCATTTGTTCAGAAGATGAAAATTGAGAACACCAGTCTTCTTCATTTCTGTGCTTTCGAGTTTTTTAAATATTAAAAAAAAGATAAGATACAGATTTTACAGAGCTCATTATAGATTATTAATATGTATTCGCTCCTTCTTACTCTATCACAAACAATTCTAAATTTTGGAATATTTAATAGCAATGCCCATATTTTGATGCTACGCAGAGGAAATAACTATTGTTCTAGACAAGTGATTTCATTGAGTTGTTTGGTCTGAATATTTGGATTGTTTTTATTCATTGTTACTAATCTATGTAACTGAAAAAACAAATGTATTGCCATGTGACAGCCACTCATAGTCATATTTATGGTTTGGTATTACAAAAAAAACAAAACGAGTCATTTGTGTTTTGCCTTTTTCTCGTTCGGCTCTCAACAACAAAGAATAATAATATTGACGTACACTGTCGCCTATATCGTACAATGGTAAGATTGTCTATGTTTATACGACAGAAGACATAGCTTGTGGTGTATAATATTGTCGTCATCATCACCCAATTTGGCATCGTAAGAAAAAGAGAAAGATGATAGACAATCGATAAGAAATAAAATTTTTATCATCAAACGTCATTTTTGTTTCTTGTGGTATATCTTCTCATTAGTTTTGATTACTTTGACTTGTAGATATTGCAAAAACTGATGTCTTTCCACGACAATTTATCTGATGGTTTTGATGTTTTTATCATATTTCATTCTGCAGAGGTTGATTATTAATTAATGGAATTCATTTTGTTCATGACTATTTTCCTCTTCTAGAGTTTACCAAGGACGAACATAGTCAGATATACTAATCCATATTTTGTGGCCAAAATTGATCATAAAATTTCATTCATGTAAGTATTCTTAGAAGAGTTTCTCGCTCCTCATCTAATGATATTTTAACAAAGTGAAAGGCTAAACAGAATTTTTTTTATTGATAGATGAATTTCATATTTGAAAATTAGTATTTCACCTCAAAGTTAGTGGCTTTAGAACTGAAAAAATCTATTTCATATTTTTGACAATTGGTCATCTACTCAATTTATTTGTCATATAAATTTCTAACTCTACTGTTCAAATAATAATAAAGATAAGCTATCTGCTTTGATCTCAGGTTGATGAATAATCAGAATTGTACAGGAGATAGCTTTTTCAAAAACTGATCAGATTTTATTACAATTTAGTCCGCTGTGAATTAACTCGATTTTATTCTACTAAATCTAGATCAACCGTTTTGTCCAATACATCAAAACCTAAATGGAATGATGAGGAGTGGATCGTTCGAAATATTCCCTCGAACGCAAAACTCTTGGTTAGCATTTATGACAAAGATGACGAAAAAATCGTCGATGATTACATCGGAGAATTTGAAATTCTTAATATAATCAACTATCATGCTCCTTCGGATGGTCATGTTATTGTCGGTTCATTCGGTCGACATAATGGTTGCTTTCATTTATCCATTCATTCAACGAAATCATCGAACGAAACTCAACAACTTCCTCGTTATACATTCGATGGTCCGTGCCGATACTCTCGTCACGATTCTTTAGTTGTCGACCATCTCACCATGCCTAATGCTGATTGTATCTACTCAACATGGAAAATACAACTGCGACGTATTTCGTTCTTTTTTCCTCTTGATGAGTGTCAACAACGGAACCAATACTACAAACCGACTCAACACACATCCGATAACTATTCGATGTCCTTGCCCACACAAAGTACCACAAAACTGGTGAACAAAGTACTCTATGAACGAATGTCGAAAGATAACGAAAGTGGACGGTTGACGAGTGCTGATGATCTGTGGCAATCAATTTTCTTGGATAGAGCAACGCAAAAAATTAAACCACGTATTTACAGTTATGTAATTGATGACAATGCATGGCAATTTGGCGAAACCGGTTATCGATTTTTCAGTAATTCTTCCAATAAACATGCTGTATTGGGCAATTGTTCCGAGTTTATTCGTTATGCTGGTGAATTCCATCTTCGTCCCAAATTTGGTTGGAATCGATTGGATGATGAATGGGAGCTAGTATTCGACAATGCATCGGGTACATATTCCCCAAATGCTGATTTGTTGGTAAATTTGAAAAAATTGTTATTATTCAATTTCCCTGGATTGAATGTCATCACATATAATTACAAAGATCCAAAACTACAAGAAAGTATTGAACAGTTAGAACTGGCTGCGAAGATATACGAGCATAGTGCGACAACAAAAATTAACAAGCTTGTTCTGTCTCATCCATCGTCAACTTAGAATGATTAGACTGTATCCTGCTAACAAAATGGAGCATTATGATGTGTTATCAATTATTTTGAACTTTGTAAATGTGTCGCCTACAAATACTATTGCTCAATCATATTCATATTTAAGAACTGAAGTGTGAAAACAATTTTTATACATACTTCATGAACATTTTACATACCTAATATCATGGGTCTTTCGATTAAGTTTCATTGAATATCATCAGCTAAGAAATGTGTAGAGCTACAACGTGATTGTTTAAAAACATTTGTCTGCTCGTCTCCTATTCGATTGATATATCAATATACGAAAGAAAAGATTCTTGTCCTCTATGAGTCGCAAAATAGGGCATTTTTCGCGAAAAATTTTCTAAATTTTGAGATGATGTTCGAAAGTCTATTCTTTACAGAGAACAATACGAAATGAGGGATGTCCACTGATGAAAAAATAAAAATTTTATCTCTTGCTTTTGCTTTCCACATTGAAGAATACAAACAACTAGACAGGTGTTCACATACTGTTTTTGATTGATTGATTCTGTTGATAAGAAGAATGATCATATCTTAAATCCAATAAGAAAAATTCGTCGTGACAAACTCACTTGTGACTCTATAGTTTGATTGATGAGATTCTATAATCTCAATATGCTTATAACTTGATATACTCATTCATATAAGAGTTTTCTCAACTCAAAGCAGATCGAATAAAGCATCTCTTTAATTATCATATCTCAAATAATGTCCTTATATTTCTCTACAAGTTCTCATTGTCATCAATACACTGTTTTGGAATTATCTTACATGAAACTCTGATTTCAGGTAGGAATTACCTTAAAGTATGTTTCCTTTCCTTATTTCTATATTATCTTTATTGAAGACCTGATGTCTGTTTTTAATGAGTATGATACGAAGTTTTGTGCAACTATATTTGAAATAACGGAAACAATTTATCGTGACAGAGCTCGGGTTAGATGTAGATAAAAACAGAGCTCCAAGGCAACAATTATAGAGAAACGATCAAGTATAATTTTCAGATTTCGGTAATATCTATTTCATGTTGCAGAGAACATTTTTCTAAATAGATAAACAAATTTTTCGGATTAACGGAGATCTATCAGTCAAAATTCTATGACGTTCAAAACTCTTTCATCATGTAAGCAAAAGTTTTTAATTTGTGACTGATCCTGGACGAAAAGTGTTTACGTGAAGTGATTCATATGAGCGTGTGGATGTGCTTCTTCACTTTAACAAGTAAAACACATTAGCTCATGTTGAATTGTAAATATTTCAAATTCATATTACTTTACTTTTTCAAAAAAAAGATAAAGCTCGACCTGTACCTCCCAAAGACACACAAAGTCCCACACCCTCATCGTTAAGATGATACATGGATAGATATGAAGAACAACGAACAGTGTAAGTATATGGAGTGTACATCGACGTAAACGATCATGCTTTGCCTATATACGGTTGTAATACTATTATTTCTTACTACTCATCCAATTACATATGTCAAATCTGAAACTTGATTCAATTGTTGAATAATTGGACTCAGATATTCAGATATTTCTGAAGATGCTAAGAAAATACAAACACCTCTCTCGATTATTGCACATCTAAATATGTAGACTGAATATTAAAACATGTGAACTGAATAATTGATGAATTGAACACCTGAATATTTGGAAAGATTTACAATAAATGAATTCGACTTTCAGATTTGACACTATTGAAAATATATTTAAAGACAAAAGCAATTATTTTACCAATCTTAAACTTTTTCGTTTTTTGAAACTGATATTCGAATTGTTTACAAAATTCAATCACATCAACTCACTAACGTTTACACACCCTTTTTGAGCAGTGTCTTATAGTCGTGCTAAAAATAACAAAGAAATTGGAAAGACACAGTAATCCATAACACGTTTTGAATGCACGGTGCTTCTTTCGTTCTTCCTTAATTAACGAATCCAAATGCGGATGAAAGTCAATCATTAAAACTTTACATTGAATGCCTAGTGGCGTATGACTTAATTGAACACATTGATCATAAGATAACAAGTCGAGATGGTATATTGACAGATTTTTTATTTCGAATAACACTTTTTTTCTAAAGTTTTATCTCATGACCAATCAATATGTAATTTAGAAAGATGATATGCACGATCAAGTAAACTTTGAAGTTGAATCCCACAATCTTCATTTGGAAAAGTGAATATGATAGTAAGTGAAATTAATTCATCGAATTTGAGAACGCTAGACCAAAAGTGTTCATCAATTGGCAATACAATTAAGAGATGTTGAATATTGAGAAATAGAATCTGATGTGATGGATACTCGTCATTGAGAAATTCATAAGTTAAACTACGCATACCATTATAGAACCACCGATTATTAGTTTGAGAACGTGTCCATTTCGATATAGTGGTATTAGAAAAGGTAAAATCTTTAAAGGAATAGGGTATAGTGTAGAAAAGAGTTCTACCAAACGATAAATCTCGATCACATCCAACAAACCAATGATGTTCATCAAGCCAAAATTGATCCTGAAAGGACTCAAGCATTTCGTCCACTACTAATTCGTTGCTTACATTCGAAAGCAATAAAAAATCCATCCTAAATTGCAATACATTCAGTTTGGGCAAACAATTTCGAATCAGTTGTTTCCATTGATGTCCACTGACATAACTATACAGAGCCACTTTCAAGTGAAATAAATTAGGCATCCATTTCACAATATCTTTTACGTTCAAATATGGACTATTCAATAGTTTCAATTTATTAATAGATCAGCTATTTCACCTGTATGATCATCAATATTTAAAACATATAGATGTTGAATAGTTGATCAGATAACTGTTGGTAGAACGAAACAGTCATATCTATTGATGAATGTAACTGTATGGTTAAAGTAACAACAAGTGAGTTTCGATAAACTCCAAATAGTATTTATCAAAGAGAGAACTTGTGATTAATCATAACCAACATAACAATTCTTTAAAGTCAGATGAGTCAGATGTAGAAATTGGGATAATGCACATGTGATTTTCTCTATTATTTGTTTCACATATGCACTTGATTCAATCTGAGCGATTGAAGATGTGTGAATCGATCTACAGTGAAATCATGCTCATGAAATCGATTAATTTGATCTGTCATTAAATTCAAATGGGCATATTGAAATATTATTATGTTGTATTACTGTCATCAACAAATATCAAATATCATATGTCTATGAACACTATTCATTAGAGTGTATATTGTAAACATCTAAACAATTTTGAATCATTTTAAACTTTGTTCTTTGACTTGTGTTAACTACTGTAGAATTGTACGTTGGAGATAAACAAATTTTTATAAAATCTGCATACAATCTTTCAGAAAAATGACTCAATGTCTACTAGATGTATTAAAGAATTTTATAGATTTCATTCAATGAAAAATATTTAAATATATTAATAAATAGAAATACAGTTTACTGATCATTTTAAATATAAACTTATTTTTGCCTTAAACATCACAACACGATAGCAAACGTGTCTCTTCCTTGTATTGCAATGTTAAAGAAAAAAAATAAGTTTACATCTATTTTTGGACCTTTTAGTTGTCATTTGTGTTTACAGTGAAATGAAGATTAGTTCAAAATATTCACAAAAATTTTCTCAAGAAAAATCAAAAAGAAAAGAGCAATCCAATCGTACCCTTAAAGAATATTGTATCATACCGAAGGTCTGCTAACGCAGTATCGTGTTTGTCCTAAGATTTATATCTCAATACTCCAATATACAAGAAAATACACTTTTCGAAGTGATGAAGTTTGATTCATTGGTAATTGATGGGTACTGAGTATCTTCTTCTTTTTAAGGTGATGCTGTAAAATTTTGACTCCTGATTCAAAGTTTTTTGTGAAATTTCGGCGAACACATTTTCTGTAAACTAAACTATTTTAAAGATGATATTAATCGAATTAAACAAATATTTGCACAATCTTACGAAATCTTATATGATAGAATCTTAGATGAGATTTTTAACTTGAATAATTGTCAAAATGGTTCCTAAAAAAACCATCTGATGTTTATTTTACTTGTGAGTTTTCCACAAAATATGATCAAGAAGTTTTTAGATCAGTTTTATGTTCATTTAATGACAAATATAGGAAATTTTTTATAACTGTTCACTATTCGTTTTTGTTCAATATTTGACTAATAATTGTTATCTATTTCCTAAATTAGTTTTCTCTTCGTATATTTTACGTTTGTAGAGGATCAACAATTGATCTTAAAATATGGTTAGATTAAAACTAATTGATAAAGAAAAAAAAAGTATCTCAACAATGAACATCTTCAATAAAGAAAAAAAAATGCCTAATCTTCATTTGATAGGATAGGCTTGAATGTGATTAAAAAAATGAATGAAAACTTTCCATTGGAAAGCTCAATTTATAATGGCATGATGTTAATATTTAATCAAATATTCTTATTGAGAGAATATACCACACCATATGGAATATAATTAATATATTCAGTAGAAGATCTGCTAAGCAATGTAAATTGAATTTGAACATTATATCTAAACAATACTCATTACCAAACACATCTACCAACAAAAATGCGTGATGAAATATCACTATTTGTCTGAATATCTGCTTATAATCCAGACTATTTTATGATTACCTTCGAGAAGACAATGTAATATTCCTCTTAATCACTTGTTTTTCATAAGTTTGCTATCAATCATTATTACAAATCAATGTGGCATCGAATATCAATTAAAATATTTTCTATAGTTATACATTAATGCTAAAGAATTTTTTCATCTGACTCAATTACATATCAAATATTGTTGGTAATCAGGAAACTATTCAAATTTCTAAAAACAAAAAAAGGATAGTAAGAAAATTTGGAATGTTTGATAATTGTATATTGTTCTGATGAAAATTTCTCTACTTTGAAAAATTTCCGTAGTTTTTTGAAAATCTCCAAATTTGTAAATTCCTAAATATCTTGAAATTTTATTTCTTCGTATTTCTATGATTTTGGATATTACAAAAATATCTTTTTTTTCAAAATTCAAAAATATATCAAATATAAATTATCATGTTTAATTTATTTCAATTCTATTAGAAACATTACATGAAAATATTAATTTACAATAGCAACAGATAATATACTCTTTTATTTAATGGATTTACAACAGACATTTCATTTTCTATACGCCTTACATGTTCTATTAAAAAAATATATTCGTAGATCATTGAGAACAAAATCAGAGTGACTCTCGCTATAACGTATTAGAATGAACAAAGGTATTTTAGTTAACATTATGTGCTTGTTAAATAATTCATAAAGAAGAAAAAAACGTAAGTTGAATGTTCCATAAGGTATAAACAAAGAAATAAACAAAGAAACCAACAAGACTTGTGGAGCATTTGAAGCTTCGATTAACCAACGAAGAACGTTCATAGGAGTTACAGTATAGATGCTTTTCACCAATCCTAGACATGTGTAGAGAAAGGCCATATACACATAAATTAGTATCAATGTCATTTCTTGTTTTAATACAAGAAAATATGAATATTGTTTTTCACCTAGATTTAGCCAATTCCTTTCAATAATATGACGGAAACGATTGGAAGCCAAGATGCAGCAGAAAAAGATGGTTTCAATTGGACAAATAACATAGCAAGAGAATATACTTTCAGTCATTTTTGTAAAAAAAAAATGATTGAGAAGCCAATGTTTCATATTAACAACACACAACATATGTTTATGTTCAATTGATGACGATTCATCTAATAATGACAGAAAGGTTTCATTGAACGATAACATTGATCAAATCTATTAATGAATAATATTAACTTCACTAGAAAATAATTCTACGTAAATGAGAAATATTTTAACGCGTTGATTATCTGTTTGCTATAATGAATATTGTCTATGTTAACTGAAAAAATGTCATATATAAACAATTCGATTTATCATATTCAATATTGTCTAGTCTATTCGGGTCTTTCTCTTTTTATTCAACAATGGTCTGAAAATAGACGAAAAAATGCTTGACTAATGTGTGCTATTTCAATGCATTTCACGATGATTGAATAGAATTTTTATGACAAAGGCCCCAAACAGACTGAAAAAAAATAAAACGAATTAAATAGCGTGATTGGTCTATTCCGACTTGAATCATCTTTTCTTTATAGACGGTTTAGGTCTTGTCTACACTATACGATTTAGGGTGTGGGTGTGGGTGTGGGTGTGGGTGTGGGGTGTGTGGGTGCGGGTGGGATGTGAGTGTTGAAATAGTTAATGACATAGTCACACCCACACCCACCCTGTGAACATGAAATTTTAAGAACTAATTATTTTCATCTTTGTGCTAAAAATAATCGAATTGGCATACACAAAACACTTTAGGTAAAAGAAAGTTTACATTAGACATCTCAAAAATCGACATGAATTCAACTGCAAAATAATCTATTAAATTTTCATGAAATAGTTAAAAAATCAACAATCTATTTTGATGTTTTCTATTCAATTTCTGTCTTATCTATATCTTTCATTACAATTACACAATTTATGCACGATGCCTTACTCAACATATGACTCGATTCTTTTGCTTTCCTAGTCTTTTATGACTAACACAATCGACAAAGCATCATTGCGATAATCCATCATAGTATGTGAACGATCAAGAAGATCCATATGGATAAATAAATGATGACGAATATTATCTCGTTCTGTAATGGTTGATTTACTTATGCTGATATCTAAACCTTCATATATTTACATTGAATTACCATGAATTATATCTCTATTTTCGATAA